TGCTTCGTGTATATTCGATTATTCTGTTGTTTGTTATGTTTGTTATGTTATTTTACGTTCTGAATGGATTAAATGAGTTATTATTATTATTATTATTATTATTATTATTAATGATAACATAGCTTTCATAGTGCAAAAAGTTTTGAAATCGGTACCATAGTTTTTGAGTTATTTCAATACATGTAAAAATCCAAAAATACAAATCTTCCCTCTTTATAATATTAGTATAGGTTAAAAAATTAAATAGTATAGTATTATTTTTGGATAATATGTAGAGAGGTTTTTGTTTTTTTTTTACCTTTTTTTATGCTTTTATTGTATCACTTACCTAGTAGTTTTCTGGCAATGAATTGCTCCTGTATAAACTTTAACAAAAACTCGTATATAAAAGTCGGCTGATATGCTAAGCATAGGGACTGTGTAACGGCCGTATCTATTAGCGTGGGATTCTATGCATTGCAATAATATCCTTAATGCCTAGAAAATAAAGCACATTTTCAAACAATTATCTTTTTACTTATATTTGTGGTAAAGAGGCGACATATATTTATAAAAAATACTTCGAAATTTACAGGCAATGTAAACCGCTGGAGGCCTAATTTTAATATCCTTACCCTTCCCACCCTTCTCTTATTAGGAAATGATAGAAAGTGGAAGTGGGTTTAACGCCAGTGGGGATACATAGAAAGGAAAATATTCTCTTAATGGCCATAAGCAATGCATCTGCAATTGCAGATGTCTATGGGCAACAATCACTTTGTTATTGCGATGAATTAAAATAACCATACTTATTTGCAACTTTATAATATTAAAAAAAACTATAAACTCACCATTTCATGGCAAGACTTTGTCTTCAGGCTAATAGAACCGTATTTGCTGTAGCAAGTTTCCGGCGCGTTTCCCGCCAACACCGCCATGTCAGTCGCGGTGACAAGCAATAGGCCGCCATCTTGAATGCTCTGTACTGCAGAGTCTAGGAAGATTGATGGACATCCATATGGATCTAGGTCTATAACTGTGAAGCGTTCTATTGGATGCTTGTGTTTATACATGAGCATACTGGAAAAATATTTAATTACTATATTACATAACCTTAGGACACAAAAGAAAGACCAAACACCATAGGCATCGCAAGGGCGGATCCAGCTTTGGCGCCAGGAGGAGTCACAAAGTCATGGTCAAGTCAAGAGCTTGTTACAATATGTAAATATATTTTGTCAAGCTCTTAATCAACCAGCTCATGACTCCCCTCCTGGATTTACCCTTGCCAACCAGCTCAGGGGGGTCATGACCCTCATCATGGCATCGCCACCTGATGACCATCTAGGTCTAAGGGGGTCTAATTTATTGTGGTTTTAATGTTTGTTTTCTTTGAATTAAATTCTATCCAATATACAACCTAACAATTTTTGTACATTGCTCGCTTGTTTCCCCGTAACATTACAAATTAAGTGCATGGATTTTTGCCATGTATTAACTTATGCACTTTAAGTGATTAACCCATGTTGACCATGATCACTTACCATGCATCATCATGGCTTGTTTCAATTAAATTCTGTACATCATTATGAATTATATTCTCTTTTATTGTATCAACTGCTTCTTGTGATAGATCGTTGGCTATAATTTTACTAACATTTGGCACTTCTTTCGCATAACGGATGCTCCGTAAGCCAGTAGCAGATAGAGCTTCTAATATCGTCACTGGTATCTGTAATTCAAATTTATTTTAAGAAAATTAAAAGATTTGTGAAGTCAACACATTGGTAAGAGTCGCCCAGGAGTCACTAAGAGTCACCCTTAAGCTAGAGGAGGCTCTGAGTCTCTACATAGGAATGTATAGTGAGGAAATAATTAATGAAATGGGAAAAATTGCTTTGTTTAAATGTTTTTGAACATTTGTTTCATTGATTAATAACAAATTGGAGAGCAGTTTCTGAGTTTTCAATGTATATCTATGTCAAGGGATTATTATTTTAGTATTACAAAGTAGTTTATATATCTGGCTCTAGATGGGAGGTATCACTGGCCGACACCCATGTACTTCAGCTTACCTGATCTTTATTGATATCAGTGTTAATATTTTGTGTTTTCTTTAGTTTCTGTTGTATTTTCTCAGATATAAAATCCTCAGTAAATACACTTAGTACAGCAATACTAAGGTCTCTGTTAAACTCTTGTACAGGGTTGTAAAATACTTTATCGGTCTTCAGACAAATTTCAGCTTTCCCCTCTTTTATAGTTTTTAACGATTTTATATCTAATGTTTCCTCTTTCATCTTCATGATGGTCTGTAAAAATATTCATCTATTAACTAAAAATATATGGAGTAGCTAAAAATTTTTTGTCAACAATGTTATATCAATACATATAATAAAATAGGACTGTTTGTAATATCAAAAGAATAATTCCAGATTTTGGGAAGATGATGTATTTGCATTGCTGATAACGAGTTTTTTGACTGTCTGTCTATTTGCCCGCAAGCAGCGTTTGTTCCGGGTAATCTCCGAAACGGCTGAACCGATTTCGACCGGACTTTCACTGAATGGTAGACTATAATGTGCCTGTCTGTCAGACAGGCACATTATAGGCTACTTTAACTTAATATTGCGACGAAGTCGCGGGCAACAACTATGTTAATTATAAACGCAAACGAACGGCGGGAACACCGAGGTGATCATTAAAGCCAATGGATATCCGCGACACCAGAACTGCAAATACTTTGCCGACCTTTAAGAAAGTGATACGTTCGTTTCATAATGGAACTCAAGAGGTAACAGTTCGGAAATACCGCCGAGGACAGACCGTTCCACAACGCGGCTGTACGATGCAGAATTAGATATTTAGTTCAATTTCTGTCAGAAACAATAAACAACAAGTAACTAAAAGGTCAAACCTCAGACATTTTTTTCAAAACTCTCAATAACTTCATGGATTTATTGAAATTAAGGTTTGTTGTGATATTTCGATCCCCCACATGTTTTTTTATCAAACGTTATTGATTTGATAACGTTTGACAGATTATAATGTTTAGTGTTGACATTCTTTTTGGAAGTTTCAGTGTGCAACGCACGACTAACCCTCTCATTCTCACCTCTCACTCGTTTCAATTTCATTTTGCGTGCAACATGACTCTTACGCCTATAGCATCAGTTTTTATTTTCTTTATTTTAACTGCAAGATACAAGATAGAACACACTCCTACTGTACGTAGTACTTATTACCTACATGCATTTTGTTCACATTCTTTTCAAAGTTTCATAGTGCAAATCTTTAAAAATCCATTTTAAATGACTCTTAGATTTTTATGTGTTCGTATATGCTGTTTAGATGTCGTTAATTAAATCTAACTTCAAGTATACCTTATAGACTTTGAAATGTTTTCAAAATGTGTTACCGATGAAATTGAAGTACAAAAAATTTCGTTTGTTTATGAACGATTTCACAAATGTCAATTGTCAATTTTTTTTATCGGTTCAGTTTGAAGGATCTGGAAACATAACCTTTTTGCTTACAAACTTAGATATCTTTTAATTAAATGGTTATATTCTGGTTTTAACTGAATTGTGCACAATAATCCTAATTTAAATATGCATCCTGTAAACATATTAATACGGAACGGTGTCTTCTTAAATCCTAAACTTAAGTCTAGTTCAACGCAAATAATTCGTAACTTTTCCAGAGTTGCATCATTTAATTGTAAGCTTCAGATATCTCAAAGTTACAGTGGATTAAGTTTCGACAGTCGATTATGTGGTTCTAGTGCTAGTTTCCAGTTATCACAGCGACAGATTTATGGTAGAAGGTTTTATTCGTCCGAAAACAAGAATGATCCCCCGGAAGAAGATTCTGCTATAAAAGACGAGACTCCGTTGTTTTCGAGCCAGTTGCCAGCTACAGTCGCTGTTCCCGAAGTTTGGCCACAAGTGCCGGTTATTGCTATAAACAGAAATCCAGTATTTCCTAGGTTTATTAAACTTATTGAGGTTAGTTTGAATGTTTACTATTAGGTTGATAACTTGTTATGTTTTAAAATACTTGTTAGATACTAAGGTAAAAAAAAGTGCAATGGATTTGTGTGATGCATTAATGTCCTGTGATTATTATAGCCTCAAATTGTGTTATTTGTCCTTCAAAGCTACAAAGTTAAAAAAAACACATTAACTTTTTTATTTCCATTGTACTGTTAATGCAAATTGGCCTGCGAGTTAGATAACAGTATGTAAATGTTACTCTATATAATTTATTTTGTTCATTAGAATTACCAATACTGTAATTACATTGTTTTTTTCTCCAAAACCTATTAGATTTTTTTTACATCTGCCAACTTATATTTTTGTAACTAATATACCTATACCTATTACATATTGTTTTTATTAGCCTAGATTTTGCTAGAAGAATGGACGAAATATATCCCTTTTCTGGTTGAAACACTGTAACTTATCTAAAGTTATTGTCAGTTCCATGTTTGACTTTTAAATCAACAATATTGTTAATCAAATGTTATTTGTCTAAAGATTCTCGTGCTTTAAATTGTCTAATAATCTATAGAAATCAGTGGTATCTCATATTATCATTTTTCAGATATCAAACCCTGCCCTTATTGATTTAGTAAGACGCAAGGTGAAACTCAATCAACCATACGTTGGTATATTCTTACGTAAGAAGGAGGATGAGAAGTCAGATGTTGTGTCCAATGTGGATGATGTACATCATGTGGGAGTATTTGCACAGATACATGAAATGCAGGATATGGATTATAAGTTAAGACTGGTTGTGATGGCTCATAGGAGAATACGAATAACGGGACAATTTATTGAAGAAGAAATTGAGACGGGACCTGCTGGTGAGCTTTGTTTTACTGATTTTACAGTGAATAAGGAAACACTTGACAAGTGAATTTAGAATATAGACAAATGCTTTGCCTGCGCAGATGTATACATTTACAAACAACATAGGTATGGCAGGACCAATATATCCAAGTTTATGATCTGCCTTCCCTTTTCCTTTTATGGGCTTGAGTTATGTTCTTATTTTATAGTAGCTGTTGCTCGTGACTTGGTCCCCGTGATATAATATGAATTGTAAAAAGTAGCCTATGCTATTCAGCAATAACATAGGTTTTAATTAGTGGAAGAATTTTTGAAATCAACCCAGTTTTTGAGTTATTTCAATACATACAAAAATCCAAAAACACATATCTTTACTGTTAATAATATTAGTATAGATTTGAACCATCAACAATGTGTTAGGAAACCCTTAAGCACTATGCTATTGGCACATTTTTTAATTATTTGTCGTAAGCTTCGCTTCTGAAATGATCGTCATTTCAGAAATGAAGCTCAAGTTTCCTATATTTGATGCGGAAATTAATGTTACCCGCGAAGAATCAGATGCTGAACGAAGACGGAGGAAGCACAGGAATAATAGACGGAAGAGTAACGACGCGGAAGGGGAGGAGAAAGTGGAGAAGAAGAAACCGATCACAGATCAAGTGCTGATGGTGAAGGTGGAAAATGTGATGCATGATAAGTTCCAGCAGAATGAAGAAGTGAAGGCTCTCACCCAAGAAGTTATTAAAACTATACGAGATATTATTAATTTGAATCCTTTGTATCGGTAAGTTATTAAAATAATTATAAAATATGCAATACTCAGAAAATCTTAATGTTTAGTTAAGTTTCACTAATTGTTACCTGTCCATTAATAAGAGTTTTATTTTAACACGCGACTTCGTCCGCGTGAAATTAGAAAAATAAAAAACAGCCTATTTTACTCAGTGAAAACATAGCTTTTTAATGGTGAAAGAATTTTTGAAATCAGACCATACATACATACAAAAGTACAAATATACAAATCGTTCCTATTTTTATTAGGATAGATATACCAGAAAGCACTATAATTTTATTATGTTTTTTTAAGTGAGTCGCTGCACCACATGTTGGCGCAAGGTCAGCGTGTGGTAGACAACCCGGTGTACCTGAGCGACCTGGGCGCGGCGCTGACGGGGGCCGAGCCTGCGGAGCTACAAGCGGTGTTGGATGAGACCGATGTGAGTATTACACTATACACTACTGATGAATACAATAGATCGGAAGACCTAGGACAATTTTTTATATATATATTTCAACAGTGTGAATATACTGTTATCCTGGTGGAAATATACTGCCCAGCAGTGACTGAATACAGGATTAGGTATCTCGGTTCACTGAGATAGCTCCCGGAGATTACCAGCAATATAATGGCTTTGCTGGGGTTCTTCGGTGAGCTAAGTTGGCTGGAGTAATCCATGTCCTATTCTTACGCAAAATACGCGCTAGTCGTTGAAGTGCGGAAACCGTAGCCCCTACTACTACTACACTGTTATCCTGTACTTTAACTGATTTCGCAACTGCTTGGATGTACTATCGCGGAATTCTGCGGTGTTCCATTTACAAAATTGCCTTGTTTCTTCCGATGAGCCAAATTTCGCTCCCTTTCTTACAAATTACTAATCATGTAGCCGTGACTTATGTAAATGACTGGATAATATAAAAGTCTCCTTATTTCGTACAAACACATTTAAAAGCGTTTATTGGTTATTGTAACGCGTTTTAATGCGTATAAAACGAACAACCACTTTTAAGAACACTGCCAAGTTCTCTGATTGTACATTTTCATAATTATTGAATTACAAAAATGACGTTCCAGATTCCCAAACGACTGATGATGTCACTATCCCTCCTAAAGAAGGAGTACGAACTGTCAAAGTTACAGCAGAAGATCGGTAAAGAAGTAGAAGAGAAGGTGAAGCAGCAGCACAGGAAATACATTCTGCATGAGCAGCTAAAGGTAAGAACTTGTCTATTATCGGTTTATTTTGCGTTAAAAATTAAGGATAATTAATTAAGTGGAGTTTTATTTATTTATTCATTAAATACATGTCATAATTTATTTCATTTTATCAAGCACAAGAACACCAACATGTTGAATAAACATAAAAAACGTACATAATATAAAAATATATGTGTTATAATTTTGTCCTGTTGGTTTATCTTAATAAATAAATAAAAAAATACAAATGTTACATATACATACTGACTTTTTAAACATCAATCTCACTATATTTATAATCCAAAAGTTTATACAAGAGCTATAAATTATGGCGTTTTAAATTTATAAATTTTGTATCCCTTTTGAAGGATGTTACGGTAAATTAACATGAAAAACAGTTCAAGTCAATGTAGAAAAGCTTTCTAACTTACTAATGTTGTAAGTTAGCTAACGCCCGTGACTGTCCTTGTGGAGTTAAAAAATCAAAAGTGTCTATGTGTTCTTCCAGACTATCCTCTACATCTAGACTAAAATTTCATCAAGAACCACTCAGCAGTTTAACAAACATCCATCCATCCATCAAGATGTATGTCGCAATTTGACGTATTTTGACTTAATTTGTCACAGATGTAGAAGGATATGAGTTACCGTTTTTTTTTAAATTCCGCAAACGAAATCACTTGTATAGGCTAGTTATTTAAATTTTTAGTTGTTTTAAACTAAACAAATTTTGTACTTTTTGTCTGTATATTAGGTCTCCATTTTAACATCTTTACACTGTAGGGCTCATAATCAAATACCACAACCACACTTCTTTTTGAAAGCCATTGGGAGTCATGAGAGTGGTGCTTGAGGCCTCATTTTAGTCACTTCCTTTCCATATTTCTTACAAGGAATGGATGGGAAGGGAAAGTTGTTTTGATGGTGGAGGAGACACTTAGGAAGGGGAAATATCTTTAAATGTGTCTCCTTCGATTAAGAGTAGGCAACGCATTTGCTATTGCGGATGTCTATGGGCAGTTGCTTCGCCATTTTAGTGGTTTCTGGTCACCGCTTGCTCGTTTGCCACCAATTTCTTTTATTTTTTGTGGTAATAAATATTGTATTCTTTTGTATTTAGGTGATAAAGAAGGAGCTGGGTTTAGAGAAGGATGACAAGGATGCTATAGGTGACAAGTTCCGTGAGCGGCTAGGTGACAAGGTGGTGCCGGCCGCGGTGCAGACTGTCATAGACGAGGAACTCAACAAGCTGGGCTTCCTCGAGAGTCATAGCTCAGAGTTCAAGTAAGAATCCTATTTAAACTTGATCAGTTTTTGATGTTATTTCTCTTAATGCCGTTGTAATCAGTATTCGTTTGTATTAATACTAGCTTTCGCCCGCGGCTCCGTCCGCGTGTTAAAAAAAAAAACTAAAGTCAGTAGCCTATGTGTTCTTTTAGACTATCCTCTACATCTGTGCCAAATTTCATCGAGATCCGTTCAGCAGTTTAGGTTACAAACTCTAACAAACATCCATCCATCTAATCTTTCGAATTTATATATTACTAGCTTTCGCCCGCGACTCTTGTCATTTATGTCTCTTGTAATTTGTCATTTATGTAGAGGATAGTGTGGAAAAACACATAGGCTACTTAGTTTTGATTTTTTTAATACCACGCATACGGAGTCACGGGCGAAATATAGTTAAACCTAACAGAACAATAATGGAATTTTACAATATTATTTTTTTCATCCCTTCTCTTTCCACCTAGGCCTTTAGCGCCCAAAAGGGGTTATCGGCTTATTTTGAAAGACTATTCTAGAACGTTCTGTTGTTGTTCTTTTAAGTTTTTAAATAACAAACTTGTATTTCAGCGTGACTCGTTGCTATCTGGACTGGCTGACGTCACTGCCTTGGGGCGTGACGTCAGAGGAGAACCTGAAGCTGGCAGACGCCCAGGTCATCCTGGACGAGGACCACTACGGCATGGAGGATATTAAGAAGAGAATCCTGGAGTTTATCGCTGTCTCGCAACTCAAAGGGACCACTCAGGGCAAGATATTGTGC